CAAAATCGTGATTTGGGGGGCTAACTAGTGTGCTCTAATCAATCAATCAAGACCAATCAGCTACCTAGTCCCCGCACACGTGTCTGATCAGGTTGTCCTGATTCACGTGCGGTGTTCCGATACCAACTGTTACATGCCCAGTTGGGCGATGTACATAATAACCGAGGATCCGCAATGGAATGAGAAGAGGAAGAAGAAGAACTCTCTCTCTCTCTCATATGCCAGGTACTAACCTGTGAACGTGGCGCTGTGCTGCAGGTACCTCGAAGGCGAAGCTGGAGCTATGGCGCTGCAGGTAAGTATCCCTGGCCTCCGCCCAATCTCTCTCTCTCTAGTACTAGCTCCTGAAGACTACCTCCTGCCTCCTGAACTGCACGTGAAGTGCCTGGGAAGTACCTAGGAACTACCTGCCTCCTGCAGGGCGGGCCAGTCCTATATAGTGCTGGCCCGTCCAGGAGGCTGCTCTTGCCAATGCCGAAACGTGCCAGACCCTGGCGTTGAAGCTCAACCAGGGGTTGTCTTGAAAACAGGCCCCAAATGGCCTGTGCTAAGACCCTGGTTTGTTGCCTGACTTTCAGGGCAGGTCGAACAGATGACGGCCCGAAAATGGCCCTCAGTTTCAGGCTGAAAACACTCAGGGCCGGAACGGCCCTGATTTAGCCTGAAACGACACAGGGCCTGTAGGCCCTTGTTTTCAGGCTTTCAGGCTGAAACGACACAGGGCCTGTAGGCCCTTGTTTTCAGTCTTTTGGCCTGAAAATGTCACCGGCCTGGAAATGGCCCGTGCAGCCTGTTGCAGGCGCAGCATGTAACAGTGTGTGTGTGTGTGTGTGTGTGTGTGTGTGTGTGTGTGTGTTTTAGATTTTCCCCACAACAGCCCCAATTCCACCCAGGTGAATAGATTCAGAATCAAAGCAGTCTTTGTCCTATTGCAGACAACGAGAGCATTTGAGATGTCCAACATATTAAAGCAATTTTATAATTAGACAGTTTTTTGGTTGTCCTTGGGGTACCCCTTTCATTGTTCTTGCAGCTCCCCTTTTACTGTGCCTCTTACGCACAAGGCTGCCCACGTTGATTGTGGTTGAGCGGCAGCTGCCCACATCCCCGCATGCCTTCACAGCCCACTTGCACGTTATTTCAGGAGGCAGAGTAAAAGGGAAGGTATGCTCCTGTGCATCTCTTCAGAGCTTCATACTCCTGTTCATTTCACTTCAGATCTTCAGCTTATACAGTCTTTGTGTCCGTCCTTCATCTTCATACTTCCGTTCATTTCTTTTCTGATCTTCATATCGTCTCTTCTCTTAATGATGCTTATTCGTATGTATTTGTTAGTAGTACAAGGGGAGTGGAGGGGAGGGTGGAGGGCAAGGGGTAGAAGGCGGAGTTCTCTAGGAGTATGGGGCAGGGGAGGTAGGGGCAACGGGAGGGCAGGATAGAATATGACATGCAAAGAGCAGGGGAAAGGTGTATGACGGGTTTCACAGATTTCTAAATATTCACCGCTGAACTATAGTGAGTGGCCACCCCTACAGACCGGACAGTACCGGTTCGGGTGTGGGCTATGGAAGCACCGCATCCAATTTTCGCAGTCACAGTTGCTGCATCGAATGGCACGGCGCAGTCAGATGTCACAGGCTACGTGGCTTGTACATCCTAGGAACACAGAGTGCAGTCAGACTCGACTTATTCACACTTCGTCATGCATGCAAACAGCGATACAGCAAACTGGCGACATGCGCCCACACAGTACTCAAAGATATCATGACCAGATAAGAGTTCTCTTCCAACTGGCTATGGCGACTGTGCGCCCACACAACTCACTGTCGCACTCTGGATCACCCTGGATGTCCCACACGC